TTTTTTTTTGCTATAGGGCACATGTGCTCACTGTAGAGACAGAGAGACAGAAAGCAAGAGATCATCCTCCCATGGGAGATGACCACACCGCAATCTCTTCTCCTCCATTCTCCTCTCAGAATCTTGGGTACACATGCACATGCACCTGGTGTGAGTTTTAAGCCACTGGGTCTGGGACTTGAACCGTGGTTGACCATGTGGGAGTCCAGTGCCTTAGCCACTACGCATTTGCTGGCCCCAACTTTATTCCATTTTAATTAATAGCCACATGTGGTCAGGGGCTGCTAGACAGTGTGGTTCTAACGTATCCCTTTAAGAGAGCAAATGACACGGTCGTCCTAGTTATAGAGGACACACTGAGCTCCAGCAGAGAGTACCGAAGTGAGAAGATGCTGCTTACTCACACTGAGGTTTCTGGGGCTTGAAAAGAAAAAAATTTCCCTGAGGGGACCCACTGCCTTCTCCAGCATCAGCATCCTTTCACACTCAGGCCACTGTCACCCATACCTATTTATGATCCTATAGCAGGTAAATTATGGCCTGCACTGCCTTCGGGGTGTGGGCTCACATTGCCCCAAAAATAGAAGCTCTGTAATCAACACTGAGGAGATGGGGTGAGAGGTAAACCCGTAATGAATGATTGTCTCCTTTTTCTTCTTTTTGCTGATATTTTTGTTATAGACATGGAATAAAGTGATTTCTGTTTTAACCTAAATGGCAGATCACTTTTAAAGGGGCACTAGTTAGAATTTACCCATCAGGTATTGCTAAATACATATATATTTACCATTAAATGGTCATGCAGGAGAAAAAATATGTGTGTATGTATTTTTTAAGTTTTTGCTATAGGATGCATGCTCTTGCCAGAGAGAAACAGTGACAGAGAGAGAGATAGAGAGGGAAAGTGAGAAAAAACCTCCCAGGAGGATGGCGTGCCACAATTTCTTCTCCATTATCCTCTCAGGATTTTGAGTACACACACACATACACGCCCAGCGTGATTTTCAAGCAACCGGGTCCTGAACTCAAACCATGCAGCCAGCCATATGAGGTTCACCGTCTTAACCTCCATTCCACTGCTGGCCTGTGGAGTATATTTTTTATTAATCTGTTTCTATTAGACCAAACAAATACAGAGAGGCAGGCGTTCTCCACATACAGTTCCCATGAACCACAGGAAAGTTCTAAAGATCCCACCTTTAACTCCTTGAATGCAACTTCACTTATTAATTCTTGAGTGTTAAAGGTCACCTGGTGTTCATCTCAGTCCACGTGTGAAAAAGATCTATTCAGACATCTGCATATTCAGCATTTGATTATGCATCAGATATAATAAGCAAGGCAAATTTGATAGTTTCTCTGTTCCTACAAGACATGGCACATGTTTCTGCATATCCTTAGAAATAATGATGAAAATCCTCTTTGTGTGCGATATTCTTTCATTTCCCAAAACTCTTTTTTTAAAAAGTAAATTTACTACCCCAGAGATGAAAGGAAGCTAGTCGTAAGCTCATGAATAGAGAATGAGCGATATGCCCAGTGCCCTCTGTTATAGCTCTAAATAAAACATTAGCTTTTAGAGCTTTCAGCCCGTAGCTTACTGTAGACTAAAGTATTTATTTTGTAGCTTCTGCTAATATCTGGACACTGTTTGTGAGATTAGCATTCAGAAAAGCATCCTAATAGCCCGAGATAACTTAAATTGGCTTCTTGGATGTACCTACAGTCTGAGTCATTTTGATTAAACAAAATAAATTTTCGTTACCCCAGAGCTCTGGCTACTGGGGACAACAGAGGGAGAAAACTGGGAAATAAGAACTTAAAAGTCTTTGTTCCTCATGAAGACGATTCTCCCATCTGCAGATACTGAAGTTACGGAGTTTTTCCTTTAAACCAACCAGAATTAGACAGACTCAGCTCTCACACTTATCCGGGCCTATAGAACTTCTCCCTCGGGGAAGTGAGAAGTAAAATTAACGGAAAATTCTGCTGAAACTGCTGATCCCTTTCCTCCTGGGCATACATCCTCACTCGGCCTTGCTCTGTGTTTTCCCATAACTGCCAGCAGCCTTTCACCCCTGGTGCATAGGACACCCACCCTCTTGGGTGTGAGGAGCTAGTTCATCCCCAGGAGCACTTCTGTAGCAGGTTCACTCCAGAGTTGCCCTGTGAGCACACTGTGTGATTGATGTTCAACTCTTACTGTTGGGGGCCAGCAGGTGGCATGATGGTTGAGGCGCTGGACTGCTACATGGCTGACCATGATTCTCACTTTCCTTCTCTCTCTTTCTGCCTGTCTCTGGTGAGTACACATGCCCATAGCAAATTTAAAATAATAATAATAATTAATAAAATAATTAATAACAGAACTCTTACCATTGTCCTGAACTAAGTCTTAGTTTTTAGCTGCCCCCAGTTTTTCACATAACAATTACAAATACTGTTTTTAGAATGTTGTGTAAATTGATCATCCCTTGGCCATTCCCATCTTCCAAGTACAGAGCACCATTTCAGATGCTGGTTATGGAATTACTTTCCATAACATCCTGATCCTCACCCAGATCCCTTCATTGTTCTGACCCACCAGGTGCCCCAGAGTGTCCACTGATTCAGGTCAACCTGTGGAACAGCTCTGCTGTGCTAGATTCCCTTTCTCTAAAAGGCATGTGCTTAAATGACCACCCAACATCTGGTGGATTCTCAGCAGTGAGACTCTCGGCTGTGCAAGCCCCATGTTTTGTCCATTTTAAGGACTTTCGTCCCCCCTCACACACACCAATGCTTGCATCATCTTGCCCCAGTGCCCCAGACACGCCATCCACAAATTCTTTTGTTTTTTCCTTTCTTTTTCCCTTTACTTTTTCTTTTTTCTTTTCTTTCCTCTCCTTCCTCTCCTTCCTTCCTTCCTTCCTTCCTTCCTTCCTTCCTTCCTTCCTTCCCTCCTTTCTTTCTTTTTTAATGCTAGATCTCTCATGTGCAGCCCTCCTGTCTCAGTCTCCTAACTGGGAAGACAGCCACGTGTCACCCTGTTCAGGCTCCCACTGTGTTGCCCAGGCCAACCTCTAGCTCACCGTCCTCCTGCTCAGCCTCCCGAGTCTCTCGGATTACCTGTGCATGCCACTCTCAGCCTTTAGTGGGAACGTGGGCCTTGCCTGTGCTCCCAGTTTATGGAGTGAAGCATCTTAGTAGTGTATGCCATCATGGCTGGGCTCTCACCCAAAAATTCTGTTACTCAATTCAGTAGGAATGAATTTTCCTTCTTTCTTTCTTTCTTCTTTCTTTCTTTCTTTCTTTCTTTCTTTCTTTCTTTCTTTCTTTCTTTCTTCTTTCTTTCTTTCTTTCTTGGAGAGGTTTTTGCTATAGGGCGCGTGTGCTCGCCAGACAGACAGAGACAGAGAGACAGAAAGTGAGAAATCACCCCCCAGGGAGATGGCCACACTGCAGTCCCTTCTTCTCCATTCTCCTCTTGGGATCTTGGGCATGCACGCACATGCACCCGGTGCGAGTTTTAAGCCACTGGGTCCGGGACACGAACCGCAGTCAACTATGTGGGAGTACAACGACATAGCCATTACGCTAACTGCTGGTCCCAGTAGGAATGAGTTTTCTGTTCTCATCCCATTCAGACTTGTAGGACATTTGCTTCTGAAAGAAGCTGTGAGGTAAGGATCGCTGCTCTGAAAGCTAGCGTCTCTGCTACCACTCAGGCAGGTTCGGGCCGTTACTGCGTCACAGCCATGCCACAGGGCGGCGGGAAGACTGGCCTCTGCTATGGGAGGTGCTACTTAATGTTAGAATTCCCACGGTGTTTAACTGACTCCTTCGTTGTGTTCTTATTTGAAGTCACACATGATGATTTCTATAATGGAATTGTTCAACTAAGACAAATCAGAAAACATGAAGTGATAAAGTCCCTGCACACATTTTTAGCACAATGAGAGATCACTGTGGCCAAAGCCTAAAATGAAATAAAATTCTTCAAGGGAATTCTTAACTTCTGCTTGTAGTCATATTGTGGGTGCTTTTACGAATCTGCAGCTTTTTATTTGCAAACCCAGATTCTCCAGAATACAAATTGGGCCCTTTTTATTGTTATTGCTGATTATAAATTTCGGTTTGTGGGGTATTTTTTAAGCCAACAGAAACCTCTCTGATTGTGAGATATAGGATTTTCAGATTATCTAAAATACGAATGGACCGTTCTGGGTTTTAGGTCACTTTTTCATAATAAATGTGTGTGTTTATCGATGCCTCACTTTCTCGAGCCAAAAAATGGTCAATAACCCGTTAATAACTGCCACTGGTGATGTATTTATTCTTCATGTTGCATGGATGATTGTATTAATGCATATTTCATCATGACCTGCCCTTTTTTGAAACCTCTTTGTCTTCATTACAGTCAAGAAAAAGCTTGGCTTCATTCCCAACCTACGTTGAAGGTAAGAACTGGAATATATATAGGGAAGGGGAGAGAGAGGTGACAGAGAGAGTGCATGTACAAAAGTGAGCATTGAGTCATTTATGACAGTGCAGTCTGGGTGACATATCTATGACACATCTTTGAGCAGGCTGAGTGTTTGAAGCATGGGAGTATGAGACAGTAGTGGGGAGGAGGGCTCCAGAGTCACACTC